CTGTTATTATTATTATTACTATTATTATCATTATCTATATTTTCATTATATTATTATTATTATTATTATTGTCATCATTATTATTACTATCATTATTATTATCATTATTTCACTATTATCCTTATCATTGTTATTGCTGTTATTATTGTTGTCATTGTTATTAATATTATTATCATTATCATTGGTTTTACTATTCATTATTATTAATATTATTATCATCATTAATATTATCGCATCCTATTCATCATCATCACCAAAAGCATTATTGTCATCACCATTATCACCACCAAGATCGAGAGAGTAACCCCCATCCTCATCGCCAGTACCATCACCATCAACATCATCCCCATCATCATTATCACCATCATCACTATCCCTTCTATTATCACCATGACCATCAGCATCATCATCACCAGCATCATCATCATCATCACCATCACCACCATCATCATCATCACCACCATCACCATCAGCATCCCTGCTTCCTCGTCCCTATTACCTAGGAAACGTCCACTGGCATTCTCGTTACTAGGCTTCGGGCCAAACAAAAATGACCCATCTGCATAAGAATCGAGAAGCATCGACATCACGTATTCTCCCCATGTCCAACGCCGTTTCTGATGGGTACCACCACTGCCTCGGGGAAGAGATGGCTAATGCTTGTGGTTAGTGGACAGCTGTTTAGTATTCGGAGAGCAGCGTTTCGAGTGATGTGGGGCTCGTCTTGGTCCTTGTAGTGTAATGGGCGAAATCATGCTGCACGGTGCGTGGGTCTTGTGGTCAGAGGTGGCTTGTTCGTGGGGTGTTCAGCGTGTGATTACCTTTCTATTATCCTGATTGGATGTTATGGGAATTATTATATATGCGTATGCATGTATGCATATATATATATATATCTATATATATATTAACTTATTTATTCATATGTATATATATGTATATATATCACTGATGCGGTGTTTGAGGAACTACTTGGCTCTATATTGGCATAATGTAGTTGCTTGGATACTAGGGTGGTTGGCCAACGATCCTTCCCAATGAGAGTAGTTTAGGTAATCATTGTCGGTGGTTCTCAACTCACAGTCCTATCTACAACAGACTCACCTACTACCGTTTGATTTGCCCAACTTTAGCAAATCCGTTCAAATCCGTACGCGCATTGCGCGCGCTTGAGCTCACTCACGGATGCATATGTATATATACATATACACATACACATGTTTATATATATATATATATATGCATATATATCCATATATATATATATGTGTATGTGTGTGTGTGTGTGTGTGTGTGTGTGTGTGTGTGTGTGTGTGTGTGTGTGTGTGTGTGTGTGTGTGTGTGTGTGTGTGTGTGTACATACACACACACGTGTACTCTTCAAGCAAAAGCTAATGTTTAGACTAAATGTTCCAGATTCTTTTTTTTTAGCAACAATAAAGGGAAATCCTGATGGTTATTGTTTTGATACTGCAATTCTATTCGAGTGAGTCAGTGCACTACGGCAATTTCAACGTCGATATTTGCAATGCTTGGATCAAAACTGCTCAAGACTTGACATGCACCATCAAATAGTTTGCTTTTATTCGAAATAATCTTGTGTCGCATGGACATAACTTTGATAAAATATCACTGTTTAGCATTTTCTTCTTTTGTTTGAATTTATCAGATAAAACTTATGATAAGAATTTGAAACTTTAATCTAATTTATTGTTTCTGTGTTGGATCGTCATTTTCCAAGATGTGATTCTGTCTTTTGGAAACTCTTTTTATGATAACAATTAAGTTGTTTACAAGAGTCAGATAACCATACAATTGTTTAGTATTTTTTCTTCTTCAAACTTTTTCATTTATTTTCGATCACTCGGCCTTTATCCTCCATCTCCTTCTTTTCCATTTCTTCTCATCTTTATATTATTTTATTTTCGTCTCATTCGTCATTATTAACATAATTTTTCTTTTTTTCCTTCATCGTTAACGTTATTTTTCCTTATCTCCGTGTTCCTTGTCGTTCTCTTCTCTTCTTTATTATCATAATCTTCTTCCTACGTCTTTTTTTATCATCATATTTCCTCCCTTATCGTCGTCATCATCTTCTTCTTCTTCTTCTTCTTCTTCTTCTTCTTCTTCTTCTTCTTCTTCTTCTTCTTCTTCTTCTTCTTCTTCTTCCTCCTCCTCCCTCCTTCCTCCTACTCATTCTACCTCTCCTCCTCCCCACCTCCTCCTCTTCTTTCCACCTCTTCCTCCTCATCTTCATTCTATCCCTCAAACTCCCCTTCCCCCTCCTCCTCCTCATCTCTTCCTCTTCCTCTTCCTCCTTTTCATCCAACCCTTCCTCCTCGTCCCCCCCTCCTCCTCCTCCTCCTCCTCCTCCTCTTTCCCTTCCTCGTCCCCTCCCTCCTCCTCCTCCTCCTCCTCTTCTTCCTCCTCCTCCTCCTCCTCCTCCTCCTCCTCCTCCTCCTCCTCCTCCTCCTCCTCCTCCTCCTCCTCCTCCTCCTCCTCCTCTGCTTCTTCTTCCTACCCCTTCCCCTCCTCCTCCTTTTCATCCTACCCTTCTCTCTCTCCCTCCTCCTCCCCCCCCCCTCTCCTTTCCCTTCCTCGTCCCTCTCCTCCTCCTCCTTCTTCTTCTTCTCCTCCTCCTCCTCCTCCCCCCCCCCCCCCCTCTCCTTTCCCTTCCTCGTCCCCCTCCTCCCCCTCTCCTTTCCCTTCCTCCTCCTCGTCCCCCCCCCTTCTCCTCCTCCTCCTCCTCCTTCTCCTCTTCATCTTTCCCTTCCTCCTCTTCCTCCTCCTCCTCCTCCTCGTCCCCCTCCTCCTCGCCCCCCCTCCTCCTCCTCCTCCTCCTCTTCTTCTTCTTCTTTTTCTTCCTCCACTCTTCTTCTTCCTTCCTTTTACCACACCCCTACCCCATCCCTGATCCTTCCGCCTTGTGACACAGAGCTCGTAGAACGAATCGTCCAGGAAAATTTGACTTACTGAACGAAAAAAAAAAAATAAATAAATAAAAAAAAAAAAATAGAACGGGAGACCAGATCCTACAAAGGAGAAGATGTAGGACGTTCCGGGTTATAAAAGGGAAGTCCTGTTCGCCTGAGTGTTATTTTGTGTACATTCCACGTCGCTGGGAAACATGGGTTTAGTTCTCCTTACGCAAACTTCGTGTCTTAAAAGGGGAAACTGCGTTGTTTCTTTTGGTGCAGATGTGGGACGTTGTGTTTTTTTCTCTTTTCTTTTTTTTTTTGGGGGTGGGGTGGGGTATAGTTCTGTGTTTTTTTTATGTTCTGTTTTATGTATTTTCTCTCTTTTTCTTTCTCTTTCTCTTTCTCTTCCACCCCCCCCCCCTCTCTCTCTCTCTCTCTCTCCCTCTCTCTCTCTCTCTCTCTCTCTCTCTCTCTCTCTCTCTCTCTCTCTCTCTCTCTCTCTCTCTCTCTCTCTTCCTCTCTCTCTCTTCCTCTCTCTCTTCCTCTCTCTCTTCCTCTCTCTCTTCCTCTCTCTCTCTCTCTCTCTCTCTCTCTCTCTCTCTCTCTCTCTCTCTCTCTCTCTCTCTCTCTCTCTCTCTTCCTCTCTCTCTCTTCCTCTCTCTCTTCCTCTCTCTCTTCCTCTCTCTCTTCTCTCTCTTCCTCTCTCTCTCTCTCTCTCTCTCTCTCTCTCTCTACTTTCTACTTTCTACTTTCTGTATTTTTTTTTATTTAAGGGGAATATAGGAATTTTAAAAATTTCTCTTGGTGGGAATGTGTTTTCTATATTAGGGAAAATAGGACAGTAGAATTCTGCGGTTTCCAGTGAATTGGGATTTGTGTTATCTCTTCGGGGATGAGATATGCTATGCTATGCTGTGAATGGTGAAAACACTCTACCGTGTTGATACTATGGTAGAAAAAACAACAATGTAAAATTAAGCTATGCTCTGTTTAGAGTCATGGTTTAAGTGCTATTTATTTCAGAAACGAATCGTTTTTGTCTGTCTCTGTCTGTCTGTCTGTCCGTATGGCTCTCTCTCGCTCTCGCTCTCGCTCTCACTCTCTCTCTCTTTCTCTCTCTCGCTCTCTCTCTCGCTCTCTCTCTCTCTACTCACTTTCATCTACAATTTTGTGTTATCTAGTCTGTATATCGAAAGAATTCCTGATATCTATTTTAGAAACTGTCTGATTTTCAACACGGTTTTTTCCCTATAATATAGCTTTGTTCGGTATAACCTGAATCCCCTTTTAACACTGAATGAAATACAACACTTTTAGCTTAAATACGTAATATAAGTATGTATGTACATATAAGTATGTAAGTAAATATAAGTATATATATAAGTATATATATATAAGTATATATATAAGTATATATATAAGTATATATATAAGTATATATATAAGTATATATATAAGTATATTAATGTATATATACGCAGCCTATATACATTCAATTTGCTAAATCATATGACAACGTTTATTCTCTTCGATAAATGTCAAAAAATCACTAATTCGTTAGGTAAATCATGACCTCTTTTGGGAAGTGTCGGCGGTAATGTTTTGACCTGATCTGACCTAGATGCTGTTCTGATTATGCTTGACGTCACTGATACACGTAGGTTGTCACGTTCAATTTAGTGTGACTGTCACTGTCTGTGAGTTGTTGTTTTTTTTACTATCTGTCTTTCTGTCTGTTTGTGTGTCTGTTTGTTTATTTTTCTGTTTGCCTGTCTTTCTGTTTCTTTCTTTCTCTTTGACGAAAAAGAAGGAGGAGAGAGAGAGAGAGAGAGAGAGAGAGAGAGAGAGAGAGAGAGAGAGAGAGAGAGAGAGAGAGAGAGAGAGAGAGAGAGAGAGAGAGAGAGAGAGAGAGAGAGGGATAGAGAGAGAGGGACAGAGAAAGAGAAAGAGAAAGAGAAAGAGAGAGCGAGAGAAAGAGAGAGCGAGAGAGAGAGAGAGAGAGAGAGAGAGAGAGAGAGAGAGAGAGAGAGAGAGAGAGAGAGAGAGAGAGAGAGAGAGAGAGAGAGAGAGCGAGAGAGAGAGAGGAAATAAGCTGGTTGAGAACCAGATACAGGTACAAATACAGACACAAAGACAAACAAACTGACACACAGACAGGTAGATAGACCAAACATACCGATAAATATAAAAAAAAAGAAAAACATAGACAGATAAACGGAGAAACACACAAAACATAAAATGAATTAATCAACGAGGATAGCAGCAAGAAAAGACACAATATCGAGATTTCCAAAGCCACTACAAAGCAAGAGACAGGTTACCTTGAAACTTCTCAAGTTGCTGGCAAGATCTGTGGCAAAAGTTGGTAATTTTCCTTCACGAATTTCCTCTAATGGTTGGGAATTTTTTTTTCGTTTAAGTGGTTATGTTTCTCTCTCTCGTTTTTTATTTTTTAGTGCACTGTTTTTTTCTGTTTGATTTGATGTATAGTTTTATATTATGTTTTAAGATATTTCATATATATATATATATATATATATATATATATATATATATATATATATATATATATATATATATATATATGAGTGTATATATATATATATATATATATATATATATATATATATATATATATATATATATATATATATATATATATATATATATATATATATATTCTTTTTTTCTCTTTTGAATGGTCGCATATTTATCTATTTATTTATCTATTTTGTATTTTTTACCCATTTCCTTTATCAATTTATTTCCATACATACTATCCTCTTTTTTTCTTTATATCATTTCACTCCATTACATTTTTCTTGCATTCTACACACGCCTCTAATAATTCCTTTTACATATAATCTCTCCCCATCTGCTATCATATCATATATCATTATCAAATTAACCTATTATGCAATCAGAAACCAGCCTAATTAAGGGTGAAAGGAAAGGGGTAACATTAACGCAATTAAATCCATATTTATTTCGAAGCCATTGATTAGTAATAAAGAGCTTGCTGAAAGGGTTAGTGACCGGGGCATGCAATGTGTGGGTCTCCTTGCAACGTTGGGTGTGCAATATTCATTCATTTAGTTTTGTCGTGAGTTTGTTTCGTCCTTTTTAGTGAAGGGAAATAAGGGATGGTGATAAGTATGGTTCTGTTTGTTTGTTTCTCTCTTTTTTTATCTTTCTCTCTCTTCCTACTCTTTCTTTCGTTCTCTCTCTTCCTACTCTTTCTTTCGTTCTCTCTCTCTCGTTTTCTCGCTCGCTCGCTCTCTCTCTCTTTCCTTCTCTCTCTCTCTCTCTCTCTCTCTCTCTCTCTCTCTCTCTCTCTCTCTCTCTCTCTCTCTCTCTCTCTCTCTCTCTCTCTCTCTCTCTCTCACACACACACACACACTAACACATAAACACATATATATATATGTGAAATAGATGGATAGATAGATATACAGATAGATAGATGAGATAGAAATATTTTTATTAATATCTTCTAAAATGCTTTCTACACAACATTTCACATGCTTTTATTTAAGGAATTCGAAAGCAAAGGAATTCCCAATTTGAACGACTTTTTTTTATGAAATTAGTATAAAAAATCCTCAGCCTTTTAGAAAAATAAAGGAACATAGTCTATTAGGGATAAAAATGCGTGGGTATATCTCTATATCTTTATCGATATCTATGTTTCTATCTATATCTGTATCTATATATATATGCCTATCTATCTGTCTATCTATCTGCCTATCTATCTGTCTATCTATCTGTCTATCTATCTGTCTATCTATCTATCTATCCATCTATCTATCTCTCTATCTATCTATCTATATAAACGAACAGACAGAAAATGGGAGAGCAAGGGAACAGAAAAAAAAACGAAAATAATTAAAGAAAGGAAAATGAAAACAGCGAAAAATAAGTAAATAAAATAAAAACAGAAAAAAGTTAATGAAAAGTAAACTAAAAGAAATGAAAATGATGCAACAGAAAAAGAAATGAATAGAAAACAGTCGAAAAGAAAACATGAAAAAAGGAGAACCACAAAGAACAGAAAAAAAACAAAGGGAACAATGGAGAAAATAGAAAAAAAACAGAAATAAGTAATACGTGAAAAGGAAAAATCACAAAAAAAACGAAAAGGAAAGACAGAAAAACAACAACGGAGGAGACAGAAAAACAAAAAACAAAAGGGAAAGAAAAGAAGGAGAAAGAAAGCAACAGAAACAGAAACAAAAAAGAAAAAAAGAAAAGAGATAAAGAATGAAAGAAAAACACACACACACAACAACAATACAATAACAAATAACAACCAAACGAACAGATTAATTCCCAATCAAACCAAAACGAACAAAGACTCCCCACCCCATCACCCTATCCCCCCATCCCCACCTCCCACCCCCTCCCCCCAATCCTCCCCTCTCCCCCCACCCCTTCCCCCTGGTCACACGTACCTTGGGAGTCGTTATCGAAGTCATTTCCGTCGAAGCTGAAAGTCGTATTGAGGTGTTCCAGAGTCGTCTCCAAGAAGCTTCCCAATGTCGGGTGTTCCTCCTTCGGCTGCAGCGGCGGGGGCGTCGTCATCCTGCAGGAGGAGGAAGAGGAAGAGGTGAGAGAGAGGAGGCGTCGGGAGGGAGAGGGAGGGAGAGGGAGAGGGAGGATGAAGAGGAAGAGGTGAGAGAGAGGAGGCGTTGGGAGGGAGATGGAGAGGGAGGATGAAGAGGAAAAGGTGAGAGAGAGGAGGTGTTGGGAGGGAGAGGGAGGGAGAGGGAGAGGGAGGAAGAGGAAGTCGTGGTGAGAGAGAGGAGGCGTTGGGGAGAGTGGAGGGAGAGGGAGAGGGAGGATGAAGAGGAAGAGGTGAGAGAGAGGAGGCGTTGGGAGGGAGATGGAGAGGGAGGATGAAGAGGAAAAGGTGAGAGAGAGGAGGCGTTGGGAGGGGGAAGGAGGGAGATGGAGAGGGAGGAAGAGGAAGTCGTGGTGAGAGAGAGGAGGCGTTGGGGAGAGGGAGGGAGGGAGGGAGGGAGAGGGAGGAAGGGGAGGGGGGGAGGGAGAGAGAGAGGGAGAGGGAGAAGGAGGGAGAGAGAGGGAGAGGGAGAAGGAGGAAGAGAGAGAGGGAAAGGGAGGGAGAGGGAGAAGGAGGAAGAGAGAGAGGGAAAGGGAGGGAGAGAGAGGGAGAGGAAGGAAGAGGAAGTCGAGATGAGAGAGAGGAGGCGTTGGGGAGAGGGAGGGAGGGAGAGGGAGAAGGAGGGAGAGAGAGGGAAAGGGAGGGGGAGGAGGGGGAGAGAGGGAAGGGGAGGGGGAGAAGGGAGAGGGAGGAAGAGGAAGTCGTGGTGAGAGAGAGGAGGCGTTCGGGAGAGGGAGGGAAGGGGAGGGGGGGAGGGAGAGAGAGAGGGAAAGAGAGGGAGAGAGAGAGGGAGAGGGAAGGAGAGGGTGGGAGAGGTGAGGGAGAGGGGAGGGATAGGGAGGGAGAGGGAGGGAGAGGGAGGGGTGGAACGTATGAGTTGGAGGGGGTGGGGGGAGGGACGAGAATGTATGTATGTATGTGTGTGTGTGTGTGTGTGTGTGTGTGTGTGTGTGTGTGTGTGTGTGTGTGTGTGTGTGTGTGTGTGTGTGTGTGTGTTTCCGTGCGTGTGGGTGTCTGTACAATATGGAGTGATTTTGCACCAGACAGAATTTTTGAGTATTCCTCTACATCCAGTCACCCTGACAATTCATTACAAGTTTCCTCGAGGATCAGGTCCCGAGAGAGACCACACGATTTCTCGCAACGAGATCCTTGACCCTTCCCTGGGCTCCCTCCCCCTCCCCCTCGAGGCCACGAAAAGTTCCATGACTTCAGTATTTTCTCTCTTTTGCTTTGCTTCTTGAAGGCGCTTGCAGTCAAAAGCAAATATGCAAATTGAGGAGGTAATATAAATTGCATGCATAAACGCACTTACGCGTAATACACTCATAACTACAACAAAGCACACACAAATACTTATACACACTAAGACACACATGCGCACACAGAATCAAAAACAAACACACACACTCACACACGCGTGCGCGCGCTTACAGATGGAAATACAAATGATACATACTGCATAAACTTTAACAAAGCCAATAAGGAAGTATGCAAATGGGAGGATCTATAAATATGTACACACAAGCAAAGCAACTGCATTTGCCTTGACACCTAATAAAGTAAACAAACCGGGATATATTTTGGTACATGTAAATGTCATTAACGTAAGTTGTTTGCGAAATTGTGTGGTTATCAAGGTCGTTACTGTTTTATAACTGCAAATAAGATGAAGGTTGAGCGAAGATTAATGTATTCACACACACACACACACACACACACACACACACACACACACACACACATACACACACACATACACACACACACACACACACACACACACACACACATACACACACACAGGCATATAAATACACATACACACATACACATACATGTGTGTGTTTGTGTGTCTGCGTATGAGTATATACGCTGTACATTACAATCCATTTTCTTTTTAAAAATACATTCAAGAAACTGTAAAATCATCAAAAACAATTACGTCATTTACATTTCCCGCGACTTTCCTTCTGTTTCTTAACCTAATATATTATCCACCCCCTGCTCTTCCCACTTATCAAAGGATTTTATTGATAAGATAACACTCATTGCCACCTGTCGAGGGGAAACCACGGAAGTCATTTCCCTGCGACACCTGAGCTCCGAATCCTTTCCGTCTCTCTTTCCCCTCATTCCTCATCTCTCTCCTTATACCTTCCCTCACGTCCTCCCTCCCCTCATCTCCCATTCTACCTTTCCCTCTCCCTCCCCTCACTCCTCTCTCCCTTCGTCTCTCACGTCTTCCTTACCCTTCCTCCTCTCCTCCCCCCTATCTCTCACACCCTCCTTACCCCACCCCTCTCCCTACCTTTCACCCCTTACCCCTTTCCTTCCCTTCACTTCTCCCTTTCCCCTCGTTCCTCTCCACGCCCTCCTCTCAGTTCTCCATTCCCCTTACCCCCTCCCCTCTCCCTGCCTCTCACTCCTCACCCCTTTCCTTCCCCTCACTCCACGCCCTCCCCTCACTCCCCCACGCCCTTTCTCCCTCTCTTCCGCCCCTAATAACGTCTCGCAGGTCCGGTTTCTGAGGGGAGAGGCGGCCGGAGGTGTGAGGGGGCGTTGGGTTACCTGACCGCTTTCCTGGGTTCTTGCATGCTGGTCGACCTGTGATTCCCTGCTCTCCTTAATTCTCTTTCTTTCTCGTTCTGTATTTGCTTCGTTTATCAGTTTTCTTCTTCTTCTCCTTCTCCTTCTCCTTCTCCTTCTCCTTCTCCTTCTCCTTCTCCTTCTCCTTCTCCTTCTCCTTCTCCTTCTCCTTCTTCTTCTTCTTCTTCTTCTTCTTCTTCTTCTTCTTCTTCTTCTTCTTCTCTTGGCGGGGTTAGATCCGTTTGGATTAATGTCTGTGCTATTCTGTTCATTATGTTTTATTGTCTTTGGGTGAATATATATTTTTGGTTGTTGTTGGATTAATGGTACTTTTCTTTTTATCACTCAGTACATTGACACAGGCATACGAAAAGATAACGATAAGAATGTTCTCATTTCCTCCGATAAAGGTTGTTTATACAACAGATTGTTAAATAAGTGATTTTATATTTTTGCACTCGACTTGTGTTGTTTACTTGGCTCACGCAAGAAGACATAGAAAGCGTAAAATGTCAACAACAGCAATTAAAGAATTACGGTCATGCCATTAATAAAACTGATAACAAGAATGGTGATAATGATTATCATAATGAAAACAAAATGATAATCATAGTGATAATGATAATAATAATAATAATAATAATAATAATAATAATAATAATAATAATAATAATAATAATAATAGAAGTAATGATAATAAAATCGAAATGCAATGAAGGTCTCATCACGAAAAACAAAAACAAAAAAAAAAACAAAAAAACATTGAATTGAAAACCAATACCAGTCATAAGATATAGTGTGGGAATAACCGAACAGAATAAAGATGAAATGAAAGATCTAGTTAGCAAGACCCGGAATCTATTGACCAAACGCAAAGCTCTTTATTCAAACGATTATACTGATATGTTTTGATAGGATATGGAAAACGAGGAATGCAGAATGTCGAGAAGTGTGTGGAAAATGAAAGGGAGAAACACAGATAAAGATAACGGAAAGAATGTTATGGAAGAAGGGGTGTTAGTTGACGAGAAAGACAGCTAGGGATGCGGAGAAAAAGAGAGTCATTTTAAAGGTGGTTTAAGACAGAAACGAACGAAATCGTTAATGAATAAAGCTGAATATGACTCAAAAGAGGATCCCTTAATAATTAGTAAATAAATAGATACATGAAAATTAAGAATAAAAAAAGATAAACGCTTATGGCTAATACTCAATATCAAGCACTGGTAACAAATGCAGTCAGCAGTAAAGAAAAATAAATATATCACCATAAGGAATGTTTAACATATTTCGAAGAGCTAGTAATTTTTTTTAATAGTATTGTGGCTAATCTTTATTTTATCGATTTATATTCATTTACACACACACACGTACATATATATTGTTTTCCATTAATATTAAAGACCCCAACACAGTGCACTTTCTACGTGATATATATATATATATATACAGGGCCGGATTATGACCTTTTGAGGCCTCTAGGATGATGAAATTATGGGGCCCCTCAGAATATTTTTTACTCGTGATATATTTTAGTGATATTTACATAGCTTAAAGTAAACTTATTGCAAATTCTTTAAATAAACTAGCATAGCTATCTAATGAGTCTAATGATGATACTACTGCTACTGATGATGATGATGATGATGATGATGATGATGATGATGATGATGATGATGATGATGATGATGATGATGATGATAATGATAATAATAATAATAATAGCAACAACAAAAATAACAATAATAATAATAATAATAACAGTAATAATAGTAGTAGTTGTCATAATAATAATAATAATAATAATAATAATAATAATAAATAATAATAATGATAATAATAACAACACTAATAATAATAACAACAACAATGACAATTGATAATACTGATGATATAATGATAATAATAATAATAATAATAATAATAATAATAATAATAATAACAATAACAATAATAATAATAATAATAATAATAATAATAATAATAACAATAACAATAATAATAATAACAATGAAAACAACAACAACACTAATAAAGACATTGATAATAACAATAATCATGATAATAACATCTACCACATCAATAAGAAAAAAATAATAATTATGATAATAACAACAACCACATCAATAAGAAAAAAAACAAACAAACAATAACGACCGCATCAAAAATAAACACACACACACACACACACACACACACACACACACAACACACATACCATTTTTGAGTAAGTCACAAGTGCACAAGTTAAACCGAAAAGGCGAAATGACGATACTATATATGCATGGGAGAACTTAGCCCGGGGTCAGTTTGTGGTCTGGCGTGACCCTGTATGGCGCGCTTCAAGGTCAAAGTTGAAGGTGTACAGCGCA